CATGCACCCCCCAACCGGATAACTTTGTGTCAAATCTGAACCAGAATTACAAGTAGGCTTCTGTGGAGGCTGTTGCCACTCCTATTGACATCTGGTAAAAACATTCAGGGACCCAAGTAGGAGGGCCCCAGCTTCACCCTCTTCTCCAAGAGTGGAGGAACACACTCAAACACTCTGGAGGAAAAGCCTCTGTCTGCCACCCCAACAACTGGAAGAAACTATGGTGGTAAGGACTCCCAAGCTCCACCAGTAGAGTTGTGGGTAATACGCATTGGGAAGCCCTGAGGAACAGTGCTCTGGAAACTGTGCAATAGTTCCCTACATTTTTAAAAGCAAACCAACCCCAATTTATTCAATTTGAAGATCAGCAGGGTCAGGCAGAATCCCCTTTAGCTTTACTCATGATAGTCCATGAGTGGCAGTCCATAACAATAAGATAATACCATTCAGTAGGCACCTAGATGGTCTTATGGAACACCCCATTTCAACAGAGCCTGTTGCAACCTGTAATAAATAAAGTGAAAGTGGTTGCTAGTGTGGAATTGAAAAAAAGAAAGCATGCCTGCTTGGGCAACACTCACCACAGAATGGGATCCAGTGAAAAAGTAGAAGGACCCTGGAAAACAAAAAGAGTATATTATGGAGAAGATATCCTCTGATGAAAAACTAACAAATGTAGCAAAAACAGCTACAGAGGTTAGTCGAAAATTCCAACAAGAGGAAACTGCCAGAGCATGCAAAGAATGAGATAGGAAAGTATTAGGAGTAATCCCCAAAGCAGAATACACAATGTCTTCCAGAGGGCAATTCAACCGGGCAGCTGTTCACAGAGATATGACAAAACTGGTGAGATGTGACATGCAAATATTCCTCTTCTTTAATGATAATCCATGTGAATCAACTTATGAAGCCACCTCGTTAGGATAATGGGAGATAAGTAATGAATAAAAGAAAGATTCCAATGAAGGAACAAATGATTCCTACTACCTCAAAATGAGTTAGTACAATCTACATAACACTTGAGGGCCCTAACATGACATAACAAAAAGGAATCGAGAGGTCATAAAGGTGAGGAATGGTTGGCAAATGGATTAGTGATAAGGATCTTTCCCCTTCCCTAGCTGTCAGAGTCTTGGACAGAAAGAAACTATTGGGGTAAAGCAGGACAAATGTGGAATGATGAAGAGTCTAAGGAACAGGAATTGCTAACAACTACAACTGATGATGTCCAAAAACCAATAACAATAAATAATACAATTTAAGAGAAAAGTGAAACAAAGAACACAAAACTAAGGGCTCAAAAGGAGGATGACACAAAGTATGTAAAACAGCTGTAAAATCCCAATTTGGTAATTGAAAAGGTCATTTGGGTAGAAGAATACAAAAGGTTTTGAGTAGACCTGCTAGTACTGAGGATTCAAAACATCTTCCGATATTTGGAATACCTAAAAATAGTGGATAAGAATGTCGTATATAAAGCAAGACCCCTCTCAAATACCCAAGTCATAAAACAGGATATGGTTGATACTTTAGGATGAAGATGGTGAAATTTCTTTTAAAATACCACTGATGATAAGTATACCACTTCTGTTGTGGTTGGCCTATGAGGAGATTTAGTTAAATACAGAGAAACCCTGATATTTGGCAAAGGACTGCATAACTTCCAAGCATGAAGACTAAGTTTCTGAACATCTGGGTGGAGAATGACTGATCGAGGTTGTCTCAACAGAGAATGCCAGTGTGAAAGAGGTACAGGAGGACATACATGCAGATACTGAACAAGCAGAAACCACATTTGAACTGGTTAATATAGTGCAACTTTGATAACTCAATAGGGAGTGGAGCAAACTAGGATCATAGTTGCATCAGGGGAAAAGGCATAAAGATGTACATCTGTCAAGTCCTGACTGAACACATCTACTGTCCATGCTTGAGGATGAGGTATTGGAGAACAAAACTGAGAGAAAATGCACTGTAAAACCTCGTGAAGTATCATCCATTCTGTTGGGAAAATCTGTTAAGTTGAGACAAGTGATCTGCAATTAAATGCATCCCTCCTGTAGAAAAGATCCAAGGTGCAAAAAAGATCTCGAGAATGTGTGCCTCTTTGTCTAGAAATCTGAGATATACCACCATGAGATTGTCAGAATGTAACATGACAATTTTTTTTACCTTCAAGAGAGACAGATGTACCTTTGCCTAGTGTACTGCAAAGAGTTCAAGAACATCGCCATGAAGAGTAGACTCAATTTCTGTCCAAATACCCTGGAACTCTTGACCTTGAAGATAAGTTTCCCCATCCCTGGGAACAGATGGATCTCAGGATGAGATGGTGGAATGGGTACCCCAATAGTAGTGTTGTTCCAATCTAACACCATTTGCAATCAATGATGTTGCACCTGAGAAATGAGACAGAATGATCCAAAGGATCAGAAAGCATGATTCACTGATCATGCAGTGATCACTGAAGGGACCTCATATGTAGTAAGAGAAGGAGATGTAAGTAAAAGCCTGATGGCTCTTTCCATGGTTTGAATCCTGATAGTGGTTGGTTGAACATGAGTTAAGAGCACTGAAAAACACACTCAGATGGACCAGATATTGTGTTGGTGACAGATTAGATTTCTCCAGTCTGATAAGAATGCCCACTTTTGTGGTTTCTGAAAGGAGAAATTGAAAGTGTTGTTCTGCTATTTGACAGGATCATTCCAGAAGAATACAGTCATCCATATAATGATGTGTGTACAGGAATGTAGATGACGAGAAAAGGCTCGAACAACTCTGCAGAAGACATAAAGTGCTTATGCAAAACCAAAAGGTAGAGCCCTGAACTGCAGAACCTGACCCTTGTGCATAAATCTTAGAAACCTCCGGGAAGATTCCACTATCCATGGAATATGGAGATAAGAGTCGGTAACATCGAACTTGATCATCCATAACCCTGGAGCAAAATGCCATCGTATATGTTGAGAAAGAATTCCATAGTAACTTGAGGAAGATCTAAAATTAGTTGAGTCAAGACAGATCGACAATTTGACGCTTATCTCCTGTCTTCTTGAGAACCACAATTAAACAGGAATAAAAGCTCAGAAGAACTAGATCATCCATCTACTACTGCCCTTTTGACTAACAGCTCTCTTATCGCCTGGGAATGAAGCTCCACTCATTGTGAATATGTTGGAGGTGACAAGGCAACTGGTTGTGCAGATAAAGGTGGAGGTGAGGAGTGACCAACCATGAATTCAGAGCATGGAATACCCATGGATCACTGGTGAAAAAACTCCATATGTCCAGAAATGATGCAAATGTGGTCCCACTGCTCCACTGCCCATGGGATAGATACCGATGCTGTTGTCGATGGTCCGCCCGAGCTGAAAATCTTCGAGAATATAGATGGACTTTAGTCTTGGAACCCAAGGAGGTGGCCGGAAAAACTATTAGCCGACACTCCCGAATTAGCACCAGAAAGACGAAAAGTCAACGACAATAAAGAATAATGTTAACAAATCTTGATTCTAACATCTCTGGAACACCCACAAACAACATGGGACAGAGAAAAAGGAGCTTCCCGTAAGTATGTGAGGGCAGAAGATGGTAAAAAATCCTTTTTAACAAAGAATCTCTACCCAATAAACCCCAACAACAAGCCAGCCAGAAAACCAGAGAAAGAACCAAAGGAGACAATTTGACTGAGGTCGACATAAAAAAATCCCCAACTCGACCTCAAATTGCTGAGGGTAACAATAATAGGCTTCCAAAAAAAGTTGGATTGAAGATAAATACCAAGAAAATAAACATCCCATCATGTAACCAAGAGGCAAGTCTCCCAGCATGAACATCAATATTAGGAGAAGGAGGAAAAACCAAATAGTCGCTTGCCGTCCTTGCTGCCAACAAGGAAGGAGTAGGGTCAAATGCAATAGGAGAAAACCTCACAAACCTGAGTAACCAACTGAAGAAAAGAGGCTGATCAAATCGATCCTCTGTTGAGGCTGACCTAGTAAAAGGAGCTGGAAAAAAATGAGTCTAAATTCTCCCAAACTGGTCAGAATCATGTGTAAAAGATGCATAATTGCAAGGCAAAGTGATCAGCATGAACCAAAATATCAGGGGGGGAGGAAAAACCAAAAAGGGTTGGGAAGATTGTTCATGCAATAAAGAAGGATGAGGTGCATAAGAAATATGAGAAAGAGATAAAACATCAAAAACCTGAGACAAAATCCATAAAGACCATATTAGACCTAGTAGACTCTTTGGGTTGGCAATGGGAAGGAATGGCAAAATCAGGAGGTGGAAAAAGACAATTAAAGTCCTGTCAGCCTACACTGGATGAACCTGGGCAATATCTGGGGACAAAGGTTGTCCCATGGAATGATCGATCTCCTGGGCATATAAAAGCAGATAAATCCACTGTCAGGTTGCCCACACCTGAGGCATGAGAAAAAATGCTTGTCACTGGTGTGGTCCCTAAAGTTGTAACATTAACTTTGGAATTCATTGTACAGAAAGGTTCACCAAATTCGAGTGCAGAAAATAAGGTGACTAGAATTAACTGATAATTACAATAGAAAAAACAGGCTGAATTAAAGCAACTTAATTTCTGAAAAAATTTGTGAGGAAACAAAGTCAAACGTTAAGCATTAAACAAACAAACGAGCACTTCTGAAGACAAGCACTGCCAAACGACAAGTGATATTTCAGTAGAGGAGTGTATAGGGAGTAACATGCATCACGTGAGCATGTCATGCTCCTATTGGTGAGGAGGTGATGCCTGATGATTTGCATGAGAGACATGTTGGAATCTTGCAATTCCATTAAGGGAGAGCAGAAGGCTTGTGGCATGCATAAAGAAAAAGTTTGCATATAGAGGGCAGCACTGAACAAGAATAGCTAATCTTGTGAGGAAGGTAAGTACCATATAGGAAGTTTAATGTAATCATTTCTTTAGATATATCTAGTTAGGACAACTACCTTAATTTTACATCTATGTCTCAACTCACTTTGATGTATACTTCCTAGCTTCTTCTTCATTGTAAAACTAAAAAAAAAGAAGTTAAAAGTCAACTCATACATATTTTCTTTAACAGACAAAGTAGTTTAGTTTTGTTAAGAGGTACATAATAACAAAAGCATAATGTAGTTTTTTAAGTCATAATAACAAAAACAAAATACATTATTCCTTTCTACAGTAGCACTAAATAACTGTTAGTCCTACTAAATTTAAAAACATTCAGACATGCAAATGTATTCCCTCTAAGTTAAAACACTGTTTTTCACAATACATCTACCAATGTGAGTTTTAGGAAATTCAGATTTCAGAAAGTTTCTGTTTACCTTATTATCATAAAACATGTTTAAGGTTCAACTGTTGTTGGAAAGAATAATAAATCTTTGTATGATCACCACTCTCTACGAGTCACAATTTTCATATGTATGTACAGTATATGCATCAAATTATTGCATATACACATACATCACAGTATATGAGAAGTGAAACTCCATGACCCATAAAATTGCTTTTTAAATATGTATATGTAAGATCATGTGATGAGTTGCTAAAAGGTGAATATCTTCATCAAACAAAGCATTTTGCAAAATTCACAGATGCAAAACTGTTACTGTACTACATACATGTTTTCTCTTTTACCATAAAAGTTGTATATATACACTAACGTATTCATATTATGGTGTTATTAATCCTTATCATAATTCTGAATTATATACGACTTAGATAAAATTGATAATAATTATAGTTCACTTAATTAATCTAGTTCATATCATCACAGTTGTTGTTCATGAAAATAATGATATAAAAATACCTAGAACACTACTATATCTGTCATATCCCAGCTAAACTAATTAGCCCTGATATTGAGTGTAAGGCCTCATCACGATATGACAGATAAAATGTTGTTGACATATTATTGCATATTATTCTTTGCTTTCACCCATAAGTTCTTAGAATAAATTTACTGAGCAATACTTTGTAATTAAACAAGACACTTAAATTCAGGTCTGTTAAATTAAGGGCAAAAGGAAGGTTACAACACACAAACTATTGATGAATGTTAAATTTATTGTATTTTGTTTAAGGCAAAATCATAACTGTTAATACTGAACTATTTTAGTGTGTGATTATCACAGCTTTAAAAAAGAAATATTAGAAATTAAAATTCTCAGAATTTATATATTCACCACAAGTGGCCAACACAACTGTACAACTCATGCATTTTCTATATGAGTTCCTGGAGAATGTTTTCATATTCCTTCAGTAAGACATTTCCAAACTAATCTAAAACTTCTAAAGCTGTTCCATAATGTGTTCTACAGCAGTAATTTTCTACAAGTGTGGCACAGCTCACTAGTGGGCCATGAGATATGCAGTTGTATAGACTAAGTTACTGTATTTGTTTTACAGTATTACAATATAAGTACAGAAATATTGCTTTGAATGTTAAGAACAACTGGTGAAGTTGGTGATAAGCAAATAAATGCATATATGGGCCTTTAATACTGTGCTAAATAACTAAGTTGATCATGAGGTGCAAGTGGTTGAGAAATCTTGTTCTACAACATAGGGTTGTGATACGTAGAAAAATGGTAGCTAGGCTACTCTTACGATAACAGCTTCATGTTAAAAGTACACTATGACAATTTTTAAAATAAAACTAAACTAGCAGCTCACACATCTCATCATTAGACAAAACTTTCCACCAACAATGCCATTTTAGGTATCATTTGGATTTTCTAAATAGCAAATGCAATAATATAAAGCCTGACACTGGATTTTACTGTAAATTACAACAAGTAGAGTGCAAACTTAAAACAACTACTTAATTGTAAGGTTCTTTTAATTTTCTTTGGGGAGAGGGGGTTGCTTCTTAATATCAAAAATTATTTTTCAAGTTCTAGCCCAGTCACAAAGACCAGAATCAGCTCTTTGATGCCATCACATCTGCAAATTTTGAAATCTGCTGTCCAAAAAAGTTAATAGAATTGTTAACATAAATAATAAGCAATAAAAGCCAAAATAAAACATTTCTAAAGGACTCATTTAATTACATTCTCTCAATTAGATAAATGCTCATTCATCCCAACTCTTTGCTTCCTACTAAGTTCACTTGTTAACTTTCCATTAATATAATTGGCATTTAAATTACTAATCAATCATATGATATACTTTACACAGTGCTTTCTACATATCAAGAATCTGAAAGAAATACATCAACCTGGGTGATTTCAGTACAGATATTATGAACACAGAACAGTGTCTGTTATAATAAAACTTGTATATAAAATTATGATCAATGTAAATGTAAAAGAAACTGTATGTTTTCATACACAAAAGTGAGAATCCCATCAAAAAAATTCAAGAAGTAAAATTAAGTAGGTAAAAAAAAATAAAAAAATTTCTAAAACACCATGACAGATGTAGAGAATTGTTAAACGAATCTGATAATTTTCCTATTGGTACTGTATTTCCATATCATTATTGACAATAGTTGTAAACTTCTCAAACTGTGTAATACATTTATATATATATATATATATAACCACGATTATAGAAGATCCAGGATAAGTGATCGATTCATTACTTGTATTACTAGTAATATTATTATACTAACGTAATTTCACCTTCGTAACCGCACACTGAAAATTACACTGTAATTTGATAATGTACTGAAAACATTGTTGTTTACCTTAACTTGGCTTAAGACCATCTTAAGTTTACAAAAAGCCAATTTAAGAATTAATAGCTAGGAATTGTTGATGAAAAACTATCTAAAAAGAAAGTTAAATAAGACATGCATACAAACAAGCTTACAATATCTGGAGGTGCCTTATGTTCTGGTCTACGCGTGGAGGCCGCCATCTTAAATCCAAGGAATAATGATATTCGATTCACTAGAAGAATAGGTGATGAGTATATAAACAAGAATACTATTGAGCATGTATAATTTGTAAATGAGTATTTCTAGCATAAACATCATTTTTAGGTAAACTTTTCTATTAATAATGTGTTTTAAGTAAAATTGTTATTATAATCTATTTTAAGTTTGTAACGTATTTTATTTTATTTATAATTTATTTAATTAGTTCATATTGAAGGATTTTTATTTCTCTATATTAGAAGTGTTATTTACAATGTATTGAAATCGAGATTAGTCTCAATATAACTTATACGCGTCATGGAGTTTAATAGGCCTAGGCATATATTAAATATTAGAAAGAACTATGTTTTTTAAGTTCATAGAAGTTTTCTTCGGTTTTTTATAGTAAAAATTGTGTTTATTGTATTCACAGCATTTCACCATCATCAGGTGAAATGCAAGAACAGAGGCATATTTAAACTCCGTAATAAGCGTTAATGTTAAAAAAGTGTTCTTAGTCTTACTTTTAATTTTATTGGCATGTTTTACGCAGCAATTAGAATTGTTTTTCGTGAAGAAAAAAAAGAAATTTTAGGTCATTTATACATTTTTACTATTAATTTACATCGATTATTTCAAAATGGAAACAGTTAGATCAGCTGTTGATTCAATAACCCAAACAGTATTTCCTGGTATTCAAATTTCTGGCAAAGTTAGAACTAGAAGTTATATAAAATCGGGTAGGCCAAGCTTACTTACTGTGAACTTTGAAATATTATTACTATATTATGATGATTTTTATATATAACATTGTATTTCTTGAAGTTTATAATGTTATTAAAATAATAATGCATAACTTTATTGGTAGAGAGCACTACTGAATATGTTTGACTTTGAGCATCTTATTAGTTTCTTACTCACTTACTGATCAATGACAATAAATTTTTCTGAAATCAAGAAACGTAAAGTAACAGCAAAAATGAAATCATGGTATCAACTTAACTTATAGGAATTATTTTATAAACTAAACTTGCATACACCTTTTCTTGTCTAAATTATTCTGTTACTAGATAGGGAAACCTCATGATTGTGTCCCAGTTATTATTATTAATATAAAAATTACTTTTTTTTATTTTCAATATGAGGCAAGTGAGGTAGCATTTAAAGTAAATAAAAATATAACTGAACCAAACAGTAAAAAGAAATATATAAAAATAATAAACAAATTCATAATTAAAAATAAAATAGAAATTGACTTTGATTTTGACATTCACAGATTTTGGAGTTTCTCAATTGTCTTGTTTAATAGTCATGTTTTGCATCAACATTTCACAACAAATGTTCATTGTTGCTGTATATGGAAAGCCTCAAAAACATCAATCACAATTTTGGATGCTGTCAACTCTTTTACTCATCAAACCAGTTTCTTAAGATATATTATTTAGATGACAGTGGCTCTACTTTTATATTAACCATTTTTGTTTGTCAGATAAAAGTAATGTTTTTTCATTAAGTGTTCTCATAACCACCTATACTCTTTATTTCATGTTAGTGCAGTTTCATATATTTAATTTTGACCTTAGAGGTGCACTTTCTTAAGTGCTTTCAGTCCACCAAGTATTACAGAAATAATTAATTTTTTTACTGTTTGCCACATTTAACATCACTGTACAATTATTCTACTTAACAAAATGTCTTTAATTCTAACTGTCAGAGATGCCACTCACAAAGTGTCGCAAAAGTAATTTATCCATGACCCGAGAAGATGATAGGATGAGATAACAAAAGTTTAAGATTGGGAATTTGGTGGATGAAATACATAGACAGAATCAGTTAGAATTGTCAAACCAAAATATAGATTTTAAAAACTAATAAAATAGCACTACTTATCCAATATACCTATACATTAATACGATATCATTGTAGAATATATATATCTTATATAGAAATACAAGTTAGTTAATGAAAATAATTACATAACATAAGTAGTACATATACAGGAATCAAATAAGAAGTAATGGTAACTAGATGAAGAATTTTTAATGGTACAAAACATTATCATAGAAAATACTAATGAAAAGTTAATAAGTTTTACAATACACTTTATTATATTGAGTGTGAAATGCCATGCAGTTATCAGTGTATGATAGTAGAATATTTTTCCAAATGTTCTGTGTTATTTCCATAGTTCAGCTAAGTTGTGTGGTTGCCTTTTGACCTGCTTTCTTTTTTTATGGTAACCCATCACACTGTCTCTCAGTTTTGGACCTAATCACAGATAATTGTGCCTGAGGACAACAGTCCATGCACCTCTCCCATGTTCTCCCCCATTTTTCTAGTGGATTATGGGAGAATTCTTTCTTCCCCAGTACCATGCTGCTGGAGAAGTTGGTATGAAAAGTTCCTCATCAGGTGGCACAATCCCACTGGTAGGAGACTGTGAATACACCCATCATTTGGGAAGCAAGACTGGGTGGTAGTAGTGTAGTACAAGACATCCCACTACATCATGAACTAAGCCATTCCCAGTGGTTAAGTCCACCTGGATGGGATTTGGTTTGGTACACAGGTCTGGCATACTACTCCCTGCATTTTATGCAAATATTTTTCCAATATGGAACAGCCTGACTTGTAGCCCTAGTTACACTTAAGCTCAACTGTGTGCCTGTGCAATGATGTATGGTTGAACAATCTGCCATTCAACTCACTTTAGTAACATGTTAGCACCAAGAAAAATATTCTTATTACAATATCTTTTGCTCTACCACCTCCATTAGGCAAAGATTATTCTCTACTTGAGATGGATGCAGTCTACCTCCAAGTGTTGCCCTCACAAAACTACCCCTCTCTTCAGAAATGTCACTATGGGCTTTCCCTTTCTGGTGCTGTTTTCCAAAAGGAGCTCATCTTTGTAATTTCTTTGCATGAGCTCCTCTACTACCTTCAGTGTAGGATCCTGGCTCTAGGTGGTGCATAGAGGTGAGTAGTGTTTCTGAAGTTAACATTTTCCTTACCTGAAAATGTATTTCAGATAGATACTCATTCTCAGCACTACTTCCTACCCTATTTCCCCATTTTGCATGCTAGTACTCATTGGGATTACTGAGCATGGAAGATGTGTTACCCCCCTGTTGATGATTGTATCATAGGCTGGCACAATATACACTGATACATGTAGAGGTGGAAGCTTTGTTCAAGACTTGTGGCATGTGCAGGAAATTGCTTGGCAGTGTGCTTGAGGTAATAACTAGTGGTGCAGAGATATGTCTATCTGAAATACAATTTCAGGTAAAGAAAATGTTAATATTACTGTCTGTAATGAATTTTGTGAAATTTTTAGATTGTATAAATGTTTAATCATGTGTTTTATGCTGTAGTTAAATTTTCATATTAAAAACTAATGTATTTGTATATTTTTATTTGAATTTTTCTATTCAGGAGGTGAAGTAAAAAGTAGTCTTCCTCTCCAGATGGCATTGTATTTCAATGTTTACTTCTCACCTGTGTGGTTTCTCACACATATATGTACATTAAATGTAAAGGTATGCATCTTGTGTTTCCTGTTTTTTCAAGGAAATTATGTTATATAATTAAATATGTAACACATTTTATGAATTAATTAATATACTTTATTTTATTGCATATGTTAGTTTTCCTTTTTACATTTGATTAAAATATTGATTTCATATTTCATCATATCTAAATTTGGATGACTAACTTGGTTAATTGCAATAATCAGTTAATCGAAATTATGGTTAAATTGATTAATGGCACAAAAATAATGAACTAATCAAACTAGTGTCACTGATTATTACTGTTTTCTGTTATTCTATCTATCAAGTATCAAGATCTTACCATTATGATTTCCAATTAATTCAAGTTTGTCCAATTTAACCAAATTAAGGTTTCCAAGTATTACTATTGTGTAATTATTCCAACCATCCAAATTTGTTTGTTGTTAAGCACAAAACTACACAGTGGACTATCTGTGTTCTGCCCACAAAGGATATTAAAACTCAACTTTTAGTGTTATAAGTATGTTTTTAGCACACCCAAGAGAACAATCAATTTTTTTTGTTTTTAGCCATTTCATGAGAATAATTGATTAGATGAATATAATCGTTGAATGAGCCTGATGATTAACCAATTAGAAAATTTCACTAACCCTCCAGCTTGAATTATATCCTTGGTGTTTTATCAGTTTTTGTTCAAAATTTAACACTAATTTTCAGCCTAAGTGACCTCAGTTTACTAAATAACCTTCTATAACCTTCCTTTTTTTGGAACTAAAGTGAAAAAGATACAGGTTTCATGCTTTAACCCTAAAAATTAAATACCGTCATCTTTTAAAATACATATATGATAATATGTGATAAGTTACTGTAATTTTGAAAGATAATGACAAAACTTTACAAAATGGTGTAGTTTGTTTGATTTAAAGACTGAAACTATGAAAATTGTTGTTAACTAGAAGCTGTAGCAGTTAGCTAAAATGTTCAGTGCCGCAGCATGTAATACCATACCAGTAATATACTGACTGTTTTATTTTGTAGTATGCAGTATTGTCCCAACTGTATAAGATAGTCCTAGTAACTGTCATGGTGGTTGTGGTAATTGTGGAAATACCTCGTTTGTATCTGGGTTATATTGGAAACTTAACTGAAAAGGTTTGTCAGTTTTTAAAATCTGAAAATGGAATGTATAATTTTTAAAACTATATATATCTATATGGTACGAATGTATTTTGTAACACTAAGAAAAAAATTTAATTTAAAGCTGTAATACACAGTACATGTAATTGAATTTTTAGAATTTAATTATTTCAGAAAGCCTTTTAAACAAAGTCATCTTCTCAGTTTGTTGTGTAACAATATTTTTGATTTTGAAACTATAAATGTTTTGAAAATGTGGTAAAAAGCAGAGATTAGTTTACTTGTACAGAGTCTCTTAATATATATACTGTAATTCGATGCCTATTACCTACAAGCAATGTCAAATCAAAAATCCTTTAAAACCTTGCATTTGCAAGTTGCTGAGTTAGCAAAATACAGTGTCAGTCATAGCTTTAATAGATGTGATAATAATGTTATGTTTGCACCATGTATTTTATTTTAATCCAAAATGAAATGAATATATGAAATGAAATCAATATATATTTATTATTGTTTCTAATACAATACAGATGAAGTTATGCTCCAGTAAATATCATGGTAACTATCAGAATTATAAGGAAATTTAAGAAAGTTATCAAATTATTCATTGGTATTATTTTTTACACATTTACTTTTTTATTAGTAGTCCTTCTTTCTTTTAGGAATAAGAGATAGCTGTAATTCAAAATGGCACAACAATACACTGTATCTGATGTATCTTATTATATATGTATGTGAAAATTATTTTATTGGTTTTTGGCTTCTTTATTTAGGACTTTAATAGATTGACGTACTTCTGCAAACAGAGAACTTTGTAAGTAAAACTTAAGGTTTCAAAACTCATGAATACTCACACAGCAGAAAAACACTGTAAAAAGATTATTCATTTCAGACTATTCTATAACTTCCAAGCAGCATATAGCAATTTGTTTAAGAACAAGATTAATTTTATATTGTCTTAATTCATTAATTTGAAATTTGTTTTTATCAAGGTTCCTGAATTGGCTGGTTTTTGGTTGTTGACTCTACTTCTTCAGTTTCCTTTGCATGCATTACTGCTGTTTAATGAAAATACAATAATACTGCCACTGGAGCGAGCTGTAGATATACTTATGATGACATTCATTGTGTTCGAAATAATTGCCGGTTACTTTGCCATCAAAGTTATTGCTCACCAACAGATGACACGATTTCACCAACAAATGCAACATCTGGAAGAGTTTAGTCTAGTAGATAATCAGTGAATTAAAGAAGCTGAAAACCTGTAAATTGTTTGTTAACATCTATTTGAGTGGATGTGTTCTTCAGAACAACAAAAGACTTGTCAGTTTTGGTCAAGTATGAAAATGTTAATGTAAGTATCATAAAAGCAACAAATGGTTCAAAAGTGTTGATTCATGTGTGTGTGTGTGTGTCTGTATATTTTATATATATATATATATATAAATGTGTATGTATATATATAATATGAAAGAAAGCTACAATTTTAAATGTTCCTATTTTATTGATAGTACTTTTCTATTTCATTCGAATGCTCTTCATTTTTCTTAAAATCTGCAGTGTAATTAATAGTAATACCCAATATAAAATGTATACAAGTGTTTAAAGTTGATATAACTTTAAACAAGTACAATAATAACTGACTGCACAGAAATAAAAATTTCTGTGTAATAACATGAAATGCAAAATTCTGTACATTTGTAGGTTATGATATTCCCACAATGGAAACAGAAAAAAATATGGTTATGTTTTCATTTTTCAATTTTAAACTTGAATAAAACAGGACAATTCAAAATTGTGTCTTTTGTATTTACCTATTTATCATTGTTTGAGTCATCTTTTGATACATAGATATATATATATATATTATGGGGTTGCCAGTTATCTCCAAAATGTATGAATCAGCAATAAATCCTAGGAGCCAGGATAGAATCTTAGCCCAGTGAAGATCAAGGAGGTCATCACTGCCTTTTTCAAAGAAAATTCGTAACTCAGGTTTTAATTATGTACAAGTTATACATTTTAGACATAAATAAAGTACCTTGCCTTTTTTGTGCAATGCTGTGAAGCTAAACCAAGCAAGCAAGACATTCTGTGTTATGTAGAGTAGTGCTTTCTAAACTGTGTGCCATGGCACAGTTGTGCTGCAGAAAAGCCTGAGGTGTGCCACATAATTTTTGCAATTATTGATTAATTTTATTTAGTAATGTAAATTTATTATTAATTTAATACATTTTTAAAATTTAAAATTTGACTTGTTTTCTCCTTGATACACAGTATGACACTAATTTCTGCCTGTCTTAGTCAGGGGGTGCCACTAGGCCTGCCATACAGACTTATTTACATTTCCTGCAAAAATTTTGGGGCATTAAAAGTGTGCCACTAGCTGAAAAAGTTTGAGAAGCACTGGTGTAGAATTATATAAAGAACACTGAAACTTTCAGTGCCAACTGCCCTTGCTATTGAGAGCCTATATGCTGATACTTGTGTTTATTGGCTGACAGTCAGGAATCTAAAAGTTTTTATAGAATAGCATTCATATGTACCAGAGGCTTGTGGACACATTTAGAGGCCCTCATGTTTTGTATGAAGAGGAGTCCCCCTGTTCTCATACGACAGGTATTTTACACGTATGTAGATTACATAATTATACAATGATATGTATTTGAAGCAATCCCAAAACTTATTTACAAGGCCAAAATTAAATATTTTTTATTTATAATTTCTTCACATTAAAAGTGACAATCACTGAAAAAATGAAAAAATAAATAAATTTATGCCAAAAGAAGATGACTTAGCTCTCTTGAAGTGGCAGCAATACAGTCTATCAGCTTTTCATAATGTAGGTTATTTGTACGCTGACATTCAACATTTAGAGTCAACAGTTGACTTATATGTTCCTGCATAAGTGATGAATGGAGTCTGTTTTTTATTATTTTTAGATTTCAAAAGGCATGCTCGCAACAAACGCTTGTGGTGCCAAGAGTAAGTATGTATCAATACACACAAAACAGATGGGCATAGTTGGCGAACAAAGATTATACTTTCCAAGTACAATGAAAGCACAACTGAAGCATTCTCCACACAGTTTGTCCTTCATGCAAGGCTTTGCTTCTCTACTGCAGGTTGCGACCTATTCTTCAAGTACATCTTTACCAAATTCCTTATCTGATTCAATATGAATTGGAGCAGGTTGAAGCTGGAGTACATGATGAGTGAGAGACTTTTTCAAACAATTCTAATTGTGAGCAAAACTCAGAAAATCTTGTCGCAAATCACTTGATGTACTGAAGCCAAGAATTTCTCTGAATCCAAGTTGAGTGCTTTGGTCGGAGTGGAAAGAACTTCAGCAAAGTGTCTGAAATAAAAAAAAGCGAATTCAAGTAGAATTGCTGGATGAGAAGAGTATCACAATCTGAGACTCATTGAGGTCGTGACCAAGATGATATTATAGACTGATGTCTCAAAATTTCTTGGTTTGAGATTTTCTCTAGAAAATTAAAATCCTGAGGCAACTTCAAGATTTAAACCAGCAAGATTTTCATTCAAACCTTTCTGTGAAAGTTTCTGTTCTTGATAAAATGCTTGCTCAATCACGGGTAATCATGTCGATTGAATTTTGCACCATTTCAAGCAGATGTGCTGCTTGAGACAAATCAAGCCCAGCTGTCTGAAGATACCGAGAAGCAAGCAGCGTTAGTTCAAAAATTTGAATGTCTACAAATGCCATGGCTGTTATTTCGAACTCACACAGTTTCTTTAGAATGTTATTCACCTGATTTCTGATGCCAGGTTGAAAGGCTGTTGAAAAGTGAATTGCTTGTAGCACTGAAATGACATTCCCAAACATTCCATTGTTTTTTGTGTTGCTGAATTCACCAAAGCTTTTTATGACTGCCTCTACATGACTTCCCCATCTTGTTTTGCTAATCAAAGTTAATCGTTCAAATTTTTCCATTTCAAATGCTGGTTTTTTATGCTGAATCCAGACCACCATTTGTTTTCCTGATTCACGAAAAATACAGTCATTTCTTGCATAAGTTGGAACACCAAAACTGTGGGGACAGCTGAACTCGTTACATCGACAATCACAAGATTAAGCACATGTGCAAAACACCAAATAAAGATGTGCTGGGGAACTTCATTTTTTATTAGTCTCTGCAACCCCAGAATGTCTCCTCTCATTGTAGATGCGCCATCAAAAGAAGAAAAAATGCAGTCCTTGAGAAGAAGTCCAATCGATTCCAGTTGTTTCTTGATGTTATCAAAATAACTCTGTGCAGTGGTGCTATCTAATGAAAATAAAGACAGAATGCTTTCCATTGTTTCATGCAAAGTTGGATTGACATAACATACAACCAGAATGCATTTCTCAATGGTGCAGATATCCTGCATGCTGTCGCATTGAAATGAAAAAGAAATAAGCTAATTTGATTTCATCAACAATTTGTTTCTTGATGTGATCTGAAAGTGCCACAATGATTTTCTCAATAAAGCGATTACTCAGAAACATAACATGTGACCCTCACCCTTGTGTCTTTTTTTTCTCAAAGGAAGGAGTCTCTGTGTACAGTCACAGTGTTTCATCACATTTAGCAAGAAGTTTAACCAGAGCCAGAAAATTGCTGAGATGACAGTTTTCATTGAGAATGTGGTAGGAGGATTCATTGGAATTTCTTCAAAAAGCTAAACCTTGTCTTGAAAAATAAAGAACCACATCAATCAATCTGATGACGACTTTTCATCTTGCAGCTATTTGACAATTTCTCTCGGAAACCTGATCTTTAAACAGTGCGATCTATATTGAGTGCTCACCTGAAAAAGCCATGTAACCGAGGACCGATTCCTAGTGAACAACCGTGCTTTCGTGTTCCAAAATTCCTTGGCTAATGTGTTTCCAGTCTTGACAACCAACAACAAAGTGATTGTCATGAATTATTGAGAATGCGAGGCACATGCTGCAATGTAAAGTTTGTGCCATTTCATTGAATGTCAACCATTTTTGCACTGTAGTTGATTTTTGGTTTGTTGCTGCATTTACTGCAGGATCCTTTCGGTAATAATTGGAATGTGAGAATGAAATGTTTGAGTGGGGTTGCACGGGTGAAATCTCAAAAATGCTGCAATGTTTCCTGGTTTTGGTTTTGTAAAAATATTTAGTGGAGTTTCACCTTCAACATTGCCAGCAACTCTAGCATCAGTGTAAACATATATGTCGGATGAGATAGAATATTTTTGCGTGCTTCCACAGAGAAGGAACCACTTATCATAAGGTCCTTGAGTACGTAGTGGTCAGAATCCTTCAGCTGTTGACCTTCAGTCTCTTGTACCTAGCTATCTTCTGTCAGCATTAGATCACACTTTGATTGTCTTGGAGTCTTGATGATAAAGGCATTGAGTGCATCACGTTTATAAATTCTTGTTCTTTTTTCTTCCTGGATCATTTGGATGCACTGCTTTTAAACAAACACTTCATTTCACATGTCCAAGTCCAACCTTTTATAAGCAAAAAAAAAGCAAATATATATATATATATATATATATAATAGTA